GTGTGTGTGTGTGTGTGTGTGTGTGTGTGTGTGTGTGTGTGTGTGTGTGTGTGTGGGGAAAGGTCCATTGTTACAGCAAGAAACGAGCCAAAGACAGCTTAGTGTTACCTAAGAAGCATGCGTAGAAAAGATGTGAGACTGAATACTCACAGGAGAGTCTTTCTTTCAGCTCGGGGGTGGGGGCCATGTCCACGGCGCTCTTGCTGTGGCAGTTGAGCAGCGTGGGGTCGGCTCCGTGGCTCAGGAGCAGCGAACAGACCTCCACTCTGTTCTTCGAGGCCGCCTCGTGGAGAGGAGTGAACTGCCACAGGTCCATCGCGTTCACACAGGCGCCGTGCTGCGGGCGGAACAGAACATTAGAGATTTATTTCCACACAAAATAAATAGATTTTCATTCCCTTACTTGGACCAACTCTGTCATTCTCTATATAAGAGGGTTTCCTCCTTCAGCCTAGCGCTCCTATGCACTTTGGATTTGACTGTTTTTGTGATTTCCTGTAACCTTGTGTATACATTCAATTCATCTGTATTTGTCTATTTATGTGTTGATAATTCAGGGTTCATACACTTTTTCACCAATGATTTTCAATGACTTTTCAATTACCTTTACCTAATTTCCCATGACCAAAACAATTACTCGCTCAGCGGTACCACTGAAAATGGTTTATTTTAACATGGAACAGGAAAATAAGGTCTGAAACATGTCGTGCCTCTCTAAAACAAATCAAATAGGCTTACTAGCTTCTACACGCTAAAGCAACTCAAATCTCTCACCAGCAAAACACCTCGTCAGTTAAATGCTAATTTACGTTTCATTACTATACAGTATTTATTATCATTATAGTATTACTATTTCTGCGATTAGATCAAATATAAATTATATTTGATGCAACTTCAGTTACATTTCCATGACTTTTCCAGGGCCTGGAATTAGCATTTTGAATTTCCATGACTTTTCCAGGTTTTTAATGACCGTAAGAACGCGGTCTATAACACCTGATACAGGTCTGTTGTGAATATCTTCCGCTGTTGATGCAGACTTATTCCTTTAAATTAAAATAAAGAAAATAAATTTGACTTCGACCCGGCTGAGGCAGACTCACGAGTGAAGTTGAAGGAAGAAGAAGAAGAAGGAGAGTTTCTACTCTAGAATACCTGTTTCCATACTTTGGTTCATCTGTTGATCGCTGGCCTCCCCATCCTCACTGATGTAGCCTGGAGGAGGCGTTTCTGTGGAGAGAAAGAGGGGGAATTCAAAAAAGAGCTGTGACGATATCATAATGTTTAACCTGCTCAAATAAAGGAAACATAGTTTTAGTAACCCAGTGGAAACTGCTCATATGGATCAAAAAGCTTGGACAGAATTGTTCCTGTATAAAAACCTTTTAAATAAATTCCTTTTAGTAATCAAGTATTCAGCTGACATAACAATATATATTTTCTTTGTAAAACTCCCATGATGCATTGCTGTAACCTGTCTGACCACCTGAGGCTGGTGCTATGAATTAAAAGATTTAACTTATTAGTATAATAACTAAAAGTGGTTTCCACTGTCTTCATATGTTTCTTCAAAAGTTAAATTATTATATTTCTTTCTAAATTTATTATTATTATATTATTGATTTAATGTATTACACATGTACACAGCACAGTACAAAAACAGTTACATGTATACACTCTGCAATTAACAAATCCTTGTAGTAGAAGCAGCAGTCACTATTATATATATTTTTTTTTTGGGTGATAAAAACATGACAAAAAAACAACTTTACATCGACAGACTATATACCATGTACTTCATTGCATACAAAAGCCTAGAATAAGTTCCTTTACCTTCAGGTTTAATTGAGTACATGATGTTAGCATCACTCAGAAGTAAATGTCAGAGGTGAACGGACCTGGTATATAGTTGTTTGGAGGTTCGATTCCTGCAGGGAAGTTTGTGTTCTCCGGTATGGAGTGAGTGTAATCGTCCAGAGGTGGCAGCTCTGGCAGGATCTCTGAGTGTCTTGGCACAAGAACAGGAGGCAGCACTGCAGGGGGTACACAACTAATGAGTCAAATACTAATCAGTTATACACTGTTACTAGGTTATAGTCCGGCGGTTTCATTATTGTGGTGAAAGCTTGACAAATGGGACTTTTAGCAGATTTTAAATATTGTATATCACTGAAACTCTGAAGGAGTAGTTCTACATTTTGAGGGGAAACATTTATTAGCTTGTTTAGCCGTGAGCTAGTGAAGATTGACACCATTATCATATCGTTTCCTTAAGATACTTCACAAGGCTTCAGTCAGCAAGCGTAGCATTGACGCTAACAAAGAGGCACTCAAGGCAAAGATACTCTACTCCCCAGTTTTCTAGTCTTTATGCTAAGCTAACTAACCGTCTGCTGGCTTACTGACACTAGAATTAATTAAATCGTATCATTTTAAGCTCCTAGAAATGACATATTAATCCTTTAGTGAAACAAAAAGGAAGACATCTGAACAAATTAGGAAGGAATTTGAACTGTCTTAGCATTCGTTTTTTAGCTTAGAGAATGTCAGTGAGAGGATTAGCAGATTTAAGATTTTAAAATCATAAAACAATCAGAAATCAAAATGGCAATTTGTCAACCAAATATTTTCAGTTATTAACAATTACCAAAAATCTGAAGGCTGTCAATTTCACAGATTAGAACATCAGGCTGGTCCACCTTAACCTAAAACACTACCTTAACCTTGTCTTATACCAACAATGTAAATAAATAAATGAAAATTAAATGCTTTTTGAAACGTCTAATGATAGAAATGTCTAAATTAAAATGGCAGGTAACAATAGAACACAACCCTTGCAGAAGACACTGAAATAGGAAGATATTTGTTATTTAATTTCATATTTCGTTCTTGTACATATCATATTCTATTTACATAGACTTCTTGCAATATGTTTTATTTTTGTATTGTATGATATTTGTTGCATTGCTGGAGGAGCTCAGGTCAGAAGAATTTCATTGCCATTACTACACTGTAGCTTTGAGCATATGAGAAATAAAACCTTTGAATTGAATTTGAGGTGTTGCTGCTCTGTAGCGGCTAAAAGCTTAGCATGGTTGCATCAACAAGTGAAAAACTCCACTGCATTTAAGACCAACAACATCCTCCTCCTCCATCCAAAACACTTTACCCGGATGTCATCACAAACAAAAGACTCTTAATTCCTAAAGAGATCAAATCAAAATGTGTGTTTTTAACCCAGTTTACTATTTCTTTACCGATAAATAATCCAGTAGAAATAGTATGACATTAATGTAAGTAGTCACATGATTGCTTGTAGCTTATGTGCATATGACCATCACACCTTTGAATTTGAATGATTTTTAATATTTTGAGCAACAAAAGTCCCCTCACCTGGGGTCTCCACCCTCTGGTAGTGGTACGGGTTGATGCAGACTTCATCCTTCTTGAGGTGGAAGGCGTACTCGCAGGCCTCGATGGCGCGAAGCTCGTGGTGACTGTGGAGGTCCGGCCACCGCCACAAACGACAGTAAATAACATGAGGAAGCCCCTTCCTGTGGGAAACCTGCAGGCGGCCATCCATGGTTCTGATTGGACGGCAAACAGGAAGTGGCGGTGAGATAGGCAGAGATGGCATAAGTACACACATCCTTTACTCAAGTAGAAGTACAGATACTCGTGTTTAAAAATACTCTGGTGAAAGTAGAAGTACTGACTAAACTTCTTTACTCAAGTAGAAGTACAGATACTCGTGTTTAAAAATACTCTGGTAAAAGTAGAAGTACTGACTAAACTTCTTTACTCAAGTCAAAGTAAAGAGGCTTTGAAATGTACTTCAGTAAAAAGTACCCATAACTAGCAGCTGTTTTAAAGAGTACCTGACCTCCCTTTATATTAATAGAACAATAATGTCATTGTTAGCTAATGAATGTTTCCATGCTGAACAACGGCAACATGACAACGTTTTCATTGGTCCCTCTTCTTTAGAGAAGACCAGGAAATGATGGATACACGGATCGTGTTCAAATCAATAGGCACGCAATGACTCTAAATAATAATGATCACGCCACCAAACACACATTCAGACTAAAGGAACCAGCCTGTTTGGAAAATGTGAGAAGTAGAAAGTACAGGTATTTGTGTTCAACATGTAAGAAGTAGAAAGTACAGGTATTTGAGTTCAACATGTGAGAAGTAGAAAGTACAGGTATTTGAGTTCAACATGTAAGAAGTAGAAAGTACAGGTATTTGAGTTCAACATGTAAGAAGTAGAAAGTACAGGTATTTGAGTTCAACATGTAAGAAGTAGAAAGTACAGGTATTTCGGTTCAACATGTAAGAAGTCAAAGTAAAAAGTCGTCAGAAAAATAAGAAGTGGAGTAAAGTACTGATACCAGAAACATGTACTGAACGAAGTATTTGTACTCCAATACTTCCCACCTCTGTGTGTGACGATTATATATATATAACATTTGTTTGTGTACCTCCAGCTCCAGCTCCTGCCTCTTCGGGTTGTGGACGAAAAAGCAGAAGCAATCCTCCCAAAGAGGCTCCTTGGTCTTATAGCGGATCTTTAGAGCAGACAGGAAGTCGTTTGTTAGTTAATCACGAGAGAGAGAAAAGGCTGATTAACAACAGGATCTATTAATGGCAGCTCTAACGACACACATGGGTATTTTCATTGGTTAAGTGCAGCTGAGTACATTTACTCCATGCTATGTTTGACAATATCAATGAAGGATATTTTGTAAAAACACAGAAGGGTTGTGGTCGCTTTGAGGCCGGATTCATGGTAGAGAAAAATTGTATAAATACACATTGATTAAATAAAAATAGCTATATTCGTTTGTACCAGATTCTTCCACATAGTAAGCTTCGGCATGGACTTCAGATTAATAAATCATGACTACAAATTATAATTATTTTATAAATTAGATTAGGGAAAACATATTTAAGTATAAATGCCTAAATAAATATAAGAATGATTTAATAAATACAAAAGTTAATAAATAAATAAAAATAATTAATTGATTAAGAAAAAAGGAAAACAATTAAATTAATTAATAAAAAATCATAACTTAATAATTAAATACACAAAGAAATGTAATGTGTTGCCAAGCATGGAGGGAAACACAATTAAGTATAAATGCATGAAAAAATAAATACATATATTCATAAATAAATAAAATAATCGATAAACGAATGAAAGATAAATAAAATAATGAATTAAGTGCGTGCAACATGTTTTTGAGCATAAATGAATAAATGCATGAAATAAGAAACTAATAAATACAGAATGAACTTGTTCTTGTTTGATGTGAACCGCCACCCACGAGAAATGACTTATTGAAGCAGCACAGAATCTCTCAAAGGGCCACTGCCAAAAAAAAGTTCTATTATTTCTTTTATGACATCTTTGCAGTGAAACTCGAGCATCAACAACGTATCGGTCACACAAAGCGCTCCTTCCTCTGAAAACGTCAATATCAGAGAAATATGTGGTAAGCTCTCAGCGTCAGTGCAGAAGCTCTCATGCCAGCCCTGTAAGGTATGTTGGAGTTTATAACACTCATTTTCTTGTAAGAATAATTCAATTCACCGTCTTCAAATACCACAGACGAAAAGTGTTATCATAGAAATCTGGAGGGAAGGACGGTTATAGAATAAGATGTGCTGCACTTCAATAAGTCTTTGCAACATGTATTCCTGCAAATAACCCGCTGTATTCAACCTTTAAAGGACAACTTGATATTGAAGCCTCACCTTGCTCTCCAGGGTTTTGTGTCCCACAGTGAATTGGACAAAAGGACTGGGCTCACTGCTACTCTTCTTTGCAGACTGTGAGAGAAGCAGAGGAGGAACTATGAGACAGAACGCACATCACATCTACAGCCAAACGTGAGCTTAGCAGTTAGCACACAGTGGTTTCATCAAGCAGGGCTGCAGGCAGACAAGGAGACTGCAGAGCTTTCTAATTATAGCATGCTGGGTTTTGTTCTGACTGCTTACAGAATAACAATATCTGCCAGACAGGAGCTTAACCTCTCTCTCTCTTACTTTCACTTGACGTCTTTCCCAGCAGTATTAGATTTAAGCTCCACATTGTACACTCAGACGGATTAACACAAGTCCTCTCTATGATATGCTACCACTAAAGCCCAGAAACATTTAAATACAGTTGTAAGGTGGCCAACAGGTGCAAAAGCCCTAAAACGTCCCAAAAAACCACAGGAGAAACGTGAACATGTGATAAAAACTACTGTGTTTATATATTCGTACTTCTAGAATCCGTCTAAGTTAACGCTCTCTTAAACAAACATGTGAGCCTATTTGACTAATTACTTCCATATATTGCCCTTGTGCTGGCGTGTCTGTAACCAGTGATGACACCTCATTTACATATCTTCTTTTAATTGGTGGAAGCAGACAAGCTGCACAATTTATTTATTTGTTGGTTGGCTTTTGGATCCAAATGTCAAAATTAGAGACGTCAACAATTGCAATATACGCAAATATTGTCTGAATCTTTGCTCTGAAAGACCTAAGGAAGGATTTGGGTAGGAAAGAAATCAAAACAGCTTCCAAGCATAGACGTAATTAAAGAACGCTGCACATTTTACAAAATGCACACACCAGGTTTATCTCAATTGGTGGAAAAAGAACCATACAGTTAGCCTAGCCACGTAGCTCTGCATTTAGGTCAACAAAGAGTGTGTCATTGGATGTATCTGTACTCCATGTTCCCTCTGAAACTAACACAATGAGTTCGCCGTGGACAGATGGGAGTGCCACTGCGTGTTTGTACCAGGAACTACTTAAAGGAAAGAACTGAATGAGCTGCACTGGACCGCTCTTTAAATCTAACAAACGTCCTGACTTCCTGCTCCATTATCAGATCCTTAAACTGGCTGTGCTGCTATTCAGGTTTGCCGTAACCTTTGACCTAATTCACTTCAAATGCAAAAAGAATCACGTGTAAGGACATCTGGATATGCACACAGTGGCCACAGTTTCAATACAGACAGTCGAGTGCAGTATTAGACGTTTGCATGCACGTTAGGAGAGATATACAACCCCACAACAAGGACACAAAACAATGCAATCATCCACCTTCATGCTTACGTTTAAAAAAGGACTGATAATCGTGACACCACATGACGCTGGACGGTGCACAGATGGGACTCAGGTGTGATCTGTGCATGCAAACCATGTTTCCCACGTTACCTTCAGCGCCTTAAAGACTGACACTTGCTTCAACCCGTCATAGGTGAAATCTGACAGGTTGCTCTTTCAGCCACGAGAGGGAGAAAATCACACCTGTAGTTAGTAAGATGGCAGTGCTAGGGCGTGGTTTGAGGGCATAGAGCCAGGAAAACATGTGGTAATATGAAGGATATGGGTGATCAGTAAAGAGCTGCTGCTGTGGACTCTGCAGGGAGCGAAGGATGAAAACAGAATGATGAGGGTGTCTCCTTGGGGAACCTTTTGGAGGAGCTACTTGTGGCTTTTCCAGCCTGCAGGCGCTCTGTATCTGTGCAGCGACATTAATAATTGGCTCGCAAATGCAGACAGAGATCCTGATGAGCTCTGCCAGCGGCTCTTTGTTCTGCAGATACTGTAAATCACAGCCTCGCACAAAACAGTATCTGACTACTTTAGAAGTGGAAGCTAGTGTTAATGGTTATCTGGCACTCGAACCGTGCAGCTAACACATGCTGAAAGATGCAGGTTTTGAAACTCTCAAACCCACGTCAGCGCACACCGCTAATGCTAACGCTAGCAGGATGCACAACTCACAAATATGGTTCTATACTCGGAGGTATTGCTCTCACAAAAGACTAGCCCCGACGCTCTCCTCTGACTTAAGTTCCCGCAGCCTAAGCTGCCCGAGAAGACGCTCTTTAGGTGGAGAGGAAGGAGGGTGGAGACAGAAGGGTGGAGTTATGAGATGGAGGGTTCTTCACAGGTAGCTTTAAAGACATTTGGTGCAATAGAGTGGTGTGGTGTTTGTGTAGGAAGACCTGGAAGTTAGCATCACAAGGACTCTTGCAACAAAAAGTCAGTGGGATTTCTCTGTGTGATCAGGGATTATTGCAGAAAATAATATCAATGTTTATGATACTTCACGTCACCACCGCTAAGCTAAAGGTGGCTAATGTTGGGCTATAAAGGAACTACAGCACGGTCACATGACTTCACGTCACCACCGCTAAGCTAAAGGAGGCTAATGTTGGGCTATAAAGGAACTACAGCACGGTCACATGACTTCACGTCACCACCGCTAAGCTAAAGGAGGCTAATGTTGGGCTATAAAGGAACTACAGCACGGTCACATGACTTCACGTCACCACCGCTAAGCTAAAGGTGGCTAATGTTGGGCTATAAAGGAACTACAGCACGGTCACATGACTTCACGTCCCCACCGCTAAGCTAAAGGTGGCTAATGTTGGGCTATAAAGGAACTACAGCACGGTCACATGACTTCACGTCACCACCGCTAAGCTAAAGGTGGCTAATGTTGGGCTATAAAGGAACTACAGCACGGTCACATGACTTCACGTCACCACCGCTAAGCTAAAGGAGGCTAATGTTGGGCTATAAAGGAACTACAGCACGGTCACATGACTTCACGTCACCACCGCTAAGCTAAAGGAGGCTAATGTTGGGCTATAAAGGAACTACAGCACGGTCACATGACTTCACGTCACCACCGCTAAGCTAAAGGTGGCTAATGTTGGGCTATAAAGGAACTACAGCACGGTCACATGACTTCACGTCACCACCGCTAAGTTATTTAAGACCTAAAACCAAAAACACATTCAGAAAACCATTGATTTTCCTGAAACTGTCATAGGTAGTATTTATCTAGCATATCACACTCGTTAAGACAGTTGTTCAGTGTGAAGGCCTCACACACTGCAGCATGAAGGGAACATGCCGAAATGAACGACTACTTTATATTTTATCTTGTACCCGTCGTAAAAGAGGCCTTGCCAGTCGTGTAAACTTTAATGCTCATGCAGATAAAAAATAATGAAGTGACAGAGAGAGGCAGTAAGACAGAGGACATGGAGGAGATGTTAAATAAGAGGTAACAAAGGAGAAAGTAGAACAAGAGGAAGGCGGATGAGTCGATTAGATGGCATGAAGCAAATGTTATTCTACAAATATTTCATTTTGCATTATCCCTATTGATTGAAATATACTTGTGGTAGACTCTCTGATGTTTAAACACAAAATAGACATGCACAAACCAAACAACAAACTGGGCAGCATTCAGATTTTACTTTAGAGTTTATATGTCAACGTCACGGCGCAAGATTTTTCGTAGACGAAAGTACAAAGAAATCCAAAGAAAGAGGACAAAGGTCTTCATCACCGCAGAGACTCGTGAGTTTTTGTCTCGTTGTGACCTTTGAAAGGTACTGCTGCCGCCCTTTCCTGCACCTTTAATATCAGGCTGCGTCTCATGAAGCTTTGTGAGCTGCTAAACTGTGATATTGGTGTCAGATTGATGACCGCCGGGGACACCGAGCACAGAAACACACAAAGAAACAGCCATTTGAAGACAGAGAAAAGCTCCCATGAAGACATTTAAATAATGAACCAGTCGTCAGAACAACATGGTGAGAGCTTCGTCCATTCGTCTCTCAGAAAGTTATTTTCCATCTCAACAGAAAGGAGGACATGTTCTTTGATTCAGGAAAACAGGAAGTTACTTTAATGTTAAAACTTTGAAGGTATTTGAGGTTTGAAAAGACTCATTTCAAGAGTGTGGTTTCAAAATGATGTCAAAAGTTAGCACCTTTAATCAAATGTCTTTATTACATTTGGCATTTATTCCTATTGATTAAATAACTCTTTAAGTAACCACAGCCGGACTGTCTGTAGCCGTTTTGCAATTTGAGTTCAATATTTGTCGTTTTTCTTGCAAAACTTTATTCATTCCTGATTGAATATCTGTTTCCTGATCAGAAGCCACTGTGTCGAACATACAGCGTGAAGTGATGACATGTCGTACAAAATACCCCTCGTTCCAGAGCTGAATTTCTCTCCCTCTGAAAGGCCATGGATTAAATGTCGCTTCATGACTTCCATGTAAAGCAAGACTGAAGACTCCCTTCTCTCAGGGAGGGAAATGTTTGTCTGTCAGCCTCGAAAGGTCAGGGTCGTCACCTGGAGGAAAATAACGTCTGATAATGTTTGCTTTGGTTTGTGAGCAGTTTGTTAGAAACTCAGCGAAGCTTCAACTCCTCCATCTGTCTTCAGACAAAGAAGAAATGAAGAACTGTCACCATGAGGGTATTTGGGATATAAACAAGTAATATATATGGTACAGAATTCAGTCATAAAATACAATGCAGTGTTTTAGAGAAAGAAATTACTGTACCACGAACACTATCTAACAGATCTTTACCTATTTAAGATCTGAGTACTTCTACTTCTACTCAACTACAAGATCTGAGTACTTCTACTTCTACTCAAGTACAAGATCTGAGTACTTCTATTTCTACTCAACTACAAGATCTGAGTACTTCTACTTCTACTCAAGTACAAGATCTGAGTACTTCTACTTTTACTAAAGTACAATATCTGAGTACTTCTACTTTTACTCAAATACAAGATCTGAGTACTTCTACTTTTACTCAAGTACAATATCTGAGTACTTCTACTTTTACTCAACTACAAGATCTGAGTACTTCTACTTTTACTCAACTACAAGATCTGAGTACTTCTACTTTTACTCAAGTACAAGATCTGAGTACTTCTACTTTTACTCAAGTACAAGATCTGAGTACTTCTACTTTTACTCAAGTACAAGATCTGAGTACTTCTACTTTTACTCAAGTACAAGATCTGAGTACTTCTACTTTTACTCAAGTACAAGATCTGAGTACTTCTACTTTAGATCTGAGTACTTCTACTTTTACTCAAGAACAAGATCTGAGTACTTCTACTCAACTACAAGATCTGAGTACTTCTATTTCTACTCAACTACAAGATCTGAGTACTTCTACTTTTACTCAAGTACAAGATCTGAGCACTTCTACTTTTACTCAAGATCTGAGTACTTCTCCCTCCTCTGCAGAGGACAGCCTTTTATTTGTTTTTGGAGTTAATGGTTCAGCTGGTCATTATTCCACAGATCATCAGAGCTGCTGTAATTTGGACGTCACATGGCACCGAGCTGGTGAAAGTTTCTGATTGGCTGCCAGTTGTTGACTGAAGGTCATTCTGCTCTCCCTCATTGTGAAGTTGTGTCCTGAATCCTGGCCAGTGACCCTGTGCTGCTGTGTGTACATGTGTTACTGTGTGTGTGTGTGTGTGTGTGTGTGTGTGTGTGTGTGTGTGTGTGTGTGTGTGTGTGTGTGTGT